GAGGCTCACCAGCGCCCAGATGCATGAGCAGGGCTCAAGACTTGCCACGGAGCGGTCCGAGCCCACCCGCTCTCCAAGACCTCGCTCACGGCCAGAGGTTTCCACCAAGCGCACGCTCCCCGGGGAAAGCGACTCAACCAAGGGGCTCTTGAGCAAGCGGACCCGAGCGAGGGTCCTGGAGGTAAAAGACTCCGATTTTAACTCATAGCTGCCTACCTGCTCTTCAAGAGTGGCAACAACATGCAGCAATTGCAAGGCGTAAGGAGGAACGGATGCATTGGTGCGATCAGCACAGCTCTTCCAGCCAAGGTGCTCTCCCCTACAGTTGAGTTGCCTTTGTTCCCCCCCCCCGTTGGTGTATTTTATATTTTATACAAGATTCAGAACGCCCACCCACCAGGAGCCTGTCTCACGCCGAAAGCAAAGGGAACACGGAGCAGCACCCACCACCCAGCACCAGCGCTGCTGCCCAGTCCAGGACGCCGGGACCGGTGCGTGGTGGGCACCCACAGCAACATAACCCACAAGGGGCTTTCAGCTGGGAGCCCAGGCTGCTTTGCAGCTTGTTTCAGAGAACTGTACCCCCAAAGCCTATTTTCATGAAGATGTATCTTCAGACTAACAAACGGCACCAGCGCTTTCAAGTTCTGGGTTACAAACTAATTCCATAAGCCAGAAGTGTCATTAGCTTGTCAGTCTTACAAAGGCAGCCCATTGCTGATCGCTTTTAACCGAGCTAATCTCGGCCAGAAAGCTTCCGGAATCTAAATAACTCTTGTTTCGCAGAAGTTTCATTTCATTCTCATGCTGAAAATAATAAACATAAACCAAGCGCATGTCTACACATTTGCAGGACTTTATTATAAAAGTTGTGTTTATATTCTTAACATCTGTTGACATACACAGACTTTGTAAACCTGGCATGGATTTTAAAGCCACAGAATTTTCCATGCATCATGAACATTATCTGCGAGAAGCAATAAAAAAAAGCAATGAATACATTAATCATACCAGTATCATCTGCAAAACATAAATCTGAAATACCTTTCATGTCAGCTCAACTCCTCTTTTTTTTTTCCTTTTTTTTTTTTTTTTACACACCTGATTTTACGCCATCTGTAAAAGGGCAGCAGGAAGATCACCGAGCAAATGATATTTCTCAGTGCTCTGACTTTTACTAAATACTCGCACTTTAAATAATGTAAACAGAATATTTATTACGTGACATGAAAGACATTGTACCTACAAGTTCAATTTTTTTCACTGCAGGACTAAATTCTCCCGAAGTACAACGCGGGTATAGCTCCGCTTTTGTCATTTGTTCCCTAGGTCGTAATAAACACAATATTTACTAAGTTATTCTAAACACAAGCATCAATAAGCATACGTCCATGATTTTAATTTACTTTCAGCTTCAACTTATCGAAAGGCAAATACTTGCTCTCTGATACCAGCTCTGAACATCCCCTCTGATGGGATCTGCACGTCGAGCCCTTTCCTGGACTACGATAACAGGAATGGCTTCTGCCCTCCGCAACGGCAAATGGGGACACTGCAGCTAGCTCCTACCAATCCGCAGGCGAAGTTCTGCCTTCAGATATTCGCAAATAGCCTCGATCCAGCCAGAGCTGCGCAGAGGACCCACCCGCCCAGCTTGTTCTCCCGGCTGGGCGCAGAAAGTTCAGTTTTGAAGCCAATTCCCAGCCTCTGCTCTCGTTTCTGCCTTACCCGACATCCATGAAGGGCAACCAAGAATGAAAGAGACTGTACTGGTATCTCCCAAACAATTCAAGTGGCAATTTCTTTTGAGTACCCTTTCTAAGATGACATGTATTAGAAGTATAAATGTATACTTCATCATTTACTAATGAGCATATTTAAATATACTCAACTTCCTCTGCTGGTATCTGCTTCATCAATCTTCAAATTAGGAAGACATGGATATCTACCTACATTGCAAGATAAATCTACTGTCAAAAAACCACAACTTTGTAAATTTTTGCCAAAGCAATGGGTTTTCTAGATATCTGCTGGTGCAGCACACTGATTTGTCTCTCGACCTGTCTGTTGGCACACTGCCTAAGTCCATCTGATCAAATTGACTTATTTAGTGTGCAAACCCACTTTTTAATTAGCTTCAGGGGAAGGAAAAAAAAAAGTCATTTCTAGCTGTGCTGAACCAACAGAGACTTTGACCATGCCCTGGCAGAGACGCCATTTCATGAATATTTGAAGCACAAAGGCTGAAAATCTCAACTCTTCCAAGGGTTACTTCTATCTCATCCATGTCAAACGTGCTGGCCTCTCCTGGTTGCTCCAGCTCCGAGCTGCCTGCACATCTCACCAAGGTTTCATGTGAGCTCCCTCTCATGGGCTTCCCTCCTTCACTGCCCTCTGAATTATCTGATACGGTTCTATTTGTTCTGTATTAACGTTCAGGTTTGAAGTGCAATCCAGGAAAAAATGTACTCGGGGCTCCAGACGCGCTCCCTGGACCAGCACCATCCTGCTCGTGAGCTGGATTTTTCTGCAGTTGTTTTCTCTTTTGCTTTCGCCCAGCTCAGAAGGGCCGGGAGCACCTCACCCACCTTCTCTCTACTGCCTGGGCTTTCCTTACCATGACAACTACTGTCTGAAACGGCAAAAAAAGAGCCAGTGTTACAAATTGTTGTTTATCTAGCTCACTGTGATTTCCCCCAAAAAATCGTGGTCTGGGTTCAGGCATAGCCATGTAAATAAACAGCTCACAGCACAGCTTCTGGTCCCTACACACACCAGCAAACCCATGGCCTCCCAAAGCCTGGAGCTCGCTGCGTCCCTCCTGTAGCGAGGAAAAGAACCGGCTCAGCGAGAGCCATCGCCGGAACAAAACCCTGGGTTTCCTCTCCCACCCGAGAAAGCGCTCACCTTCAGAAATAAAACAGAAGGGAAACGCATGCTCTTGGAACGTGACTTCTTCCTAAGCAATGTCATGATTCCTCAGAAGGCAATTTTTTAGGGGAATGTAGCTGACCGCGGATCTCAAGATAAATTCAGTATTTCTAGAGCAAGTTTGTAGCTGATGTCCAAGACGTGTTCTTGCGAGTTTGAGACGTGGCTCAGGAACCTGACTCCAAATAAAAACCCAACGAGGTCTAACCAGTAGCCTGCCGTGCCGAAGACACGGCGAGATCAGCTACTACAAGAACATACTAGAACTCTGTCTTCCTGCTTGGAAGGTGAAACGTGTCATATTTTCCCCACCTTATTTGCCAAAAGTTTCTGTTCTTGTATTTACCCATTTTTCTCAAGTTTTTCCCTGACAAAAATGAAGCCTGCTGATCATCAGTTACATACTTCCGGCATTCATTTACGAGTGCTAGTAATGAAGGAAAAAAAAATCAGGATCAAATATTATTTGTCCAATCCCATAGTACCGACCCTGACCTTGACCCTAATATTATAATCAAGAAATTGTAATGTTAGAACAAATCTACTTAACAACTACAAAACAGAATTAATTCACTCCACCTAATGAGATCAGAATCAGACAGCAATCCGCTGAGGCAAACCCAAGAGGGTTTGGCCCCACAAGGCTGCTCCCAAATTTCTGAATATAAATACCTTCCCATCAGGATCGTACGGAAATTAAAGCAATTACGTTTCCTTTATATTAAAAGCGGTACGTAACAATACTTACCTGATTAAAATTTTTGAAATTGAACTCTTTGTAGATGGCATCTCTTTCGCCTAGCTCAGACCAGCCTGAAGCTTTGAGATCAAGTAAAACTTGGTTCCTCTCCTCTGTCGTCAACCAGTGAGACTGCGAAGACTATTAAGGGAAAAAAAATACAAACATGACACGAGTGAGGCTGAGGTCCTCTTTTGTACAACAATAAGAAAACCACACGATGAAATTGTGGTTATGTGTTGTAGAAAGGTAAAGAGGTGGAAAATTCACTGTACAGTTTCTTACTGTTTATGATTTCACAGACCAGCATAACTTAAAACAGCCAAGAAACACCGTTTCTCTTCGATCAGTGAAGTTCAGCTAAATGCTTTTGTACAAAACTAGCGAAGAGTGACAGGCTCTTTCACAGGAATGAACGTGGTCACCAGCATACCTGTACCCGTCCCTTGCTCGTCTGAATTACCCAGACGCTGCAACAAGTGAATTAATTTTCAAGCATTCCATTCTGCCATATAAATAGAAGATTATTTACGTTATATGCTAAATGTACAATTACGAGGCTAAAAGGGATATTGGGTTAATACCTGCAATTTAAAAGACAGAAGCAAAATAGGAGATTGTATTCTACATAACTTGCATGTCGCTATTCCTAAGAAAGCAGGAATAGATTCATAGGTAGCAAGCAACAAAGAGCTTTTTAACTAACAATGAAAAGAAAAAAAATTGACAATACAGAGTCAACTACAAGACATTACAAGTTACTGGTGTAAGCACTAGATTCTGCAAAGCACGTGTGTTTAAATATGCCTTATTTTAAGCAAAAGGAGTTCTTCTGAAGCCACTGGGAGCACAGACGTAAGAGATTACACCCTCTGCTTAAATATCTGAATCGGTGCGTGAGGTCGGAGCCAGAGGAAAGTTCTACGGGGCGTTTGGAAGAGGTTTGATATTTTTCCTAAAAGCAGAGACTAAGGGCATGAGTGATTACTTAAGACGATATGTTCTAAGAGATGGGTCTCAAACTCAAATTATAAACACGGTGCTCTAATGGGAAGAACTTTTCTCCCCAGAAAAGCAAAATTCAGATTGCTTTAGTCTTTATATTGGCAGCTAGCACAGCTTTGTGAGAACTTCCAGAAAGGGGCTGAGCAGTTCTGCTCCAGAGCTTCACCAAGACGTCGGAGGTCTGCAAGTACCCGCTGCCAGCTCAGCAGCTCAGGGTGTTTTTTGCCTTTGATTTGAGAGTGGGCGCTGGCAGCTCCGCTACAGAGACCGGCGGGAGCCCCTGTGCCACCAGATGGGGCTGTGAGCCCGAGCAGAGCAGGAATTAACGCAATTAATGCGACCCGAGCAAGGCTTTAAGATGCAGGAGGGCCAAGGAGCAACGTTTTCACCAATAACAAGGGACAAAAAACCCCAAACAGCGTAAATCAATCTAACAGCATCACTGCCACCGCTCGTGTTCAGTTGGATACATCCAGTCCAAGAGATGGGTTTTACGGATCCCAAAATGAACTGCTTTAGGCTCTTTACGCTTCAAATACAACACTGGACTTGCAAAAATACAAGTATCGGATTTGTTGTTGCTGTAACTGCAGTTGCAGCCATGAATTTCTTACATTCTTCTTTTTCCAAGCATATACCAAAATTGCCAAAGCTAATGGCTGTCTTGAAATTTACTATTTTATCTGGCAAGAGATGAAATTAGTAGGCTAATTTACAAAAAAAACATGGGGGTGGGTTTTTTTGAGATAGCAAAGTCCAGGGCCGTGACCAGGAGGCAGCACAAAGTTCACTCCTCCGGCTGGCAGCAGAGATGTTCTCTTGTCAGTTTTAGGGACGTTGCAGTTACCCTCCTGAGGCCTCGCCTGGGCACACAGGCGTTGACGGGACAATGCTGTGACTTGAAATTAGATCATGACAGTTTTAGAAATACCGATGCAGGCCCTGGAGCACACCGATCGCAGCATTTTGCTTAGGAATAGGTTGCAAAGACCACGTCCCGAGTTAGCCCCTCCAACACACCGCAACGCCATCCAGAAACGTAGCAGAAAGCAGCAGGAGCTTGCTCGTAAAAGGAAAAAGAGAAGGTGGGAGATGCCATTTGCACTTAGGGGGCACAGACACCCCCACCACCCCTCCCAAAAGGCCAAAACCCGCAGCGAGGCCAGCACAGCGTGGGCAGCGACGGGCGTTGACTTAGCGCGCACGATAACCGCACCTGACCCGCGACACACGGACGACGCGCTGCCGTGCGGCGGGTTTAACCCACGGAATCGATACCGTTCACCGGGAAGCAGCTCAGGGGAAGACAGTCGTTAATTACAGGACAAAAATTAGTGCAAAATATTTCATGCCCGAGGGGGTGAGGGTCTAAACCTGCGCGTGCCATTAGTTATTAGCTTCTTGTAAAAAAAAATATTAATAATAATAATAATAATGATCACTCATCGGGTGGGACGGCCGTGGGAAGCGGGGGAGG